TGGGCTCGAAACTAGTCGGTGCCGCCACCGGACGTATATACGTGAGTGTTTAGCCGTGTTTATATATCAGTTTAGTATAATGTCTCACGAAAGTTTGAATAATTTAATACAAAATATATGTCGGAGAAACACTTTTCTCAACGACATCTATAATGGTTGAGTACTTGGTTGGCCTCGTTTAGGGTAAAGTGCAAGCACAAAACACGATGACCTAACTCGATCCGTCTCCACTTCACGACTATCTTCGTAACAACTGTCAAAACACCTTATATAAAGATGGTGCCCTCCCCTCCCCTCTTAAGCCAGGTGCTCTGCTCTGATTGGTCGTTACTTAAATTACGATAATAATGTTATTTAGTCTAGGAAAAACGTAACTTATAAAGTAAGATCAAATTAAAAGTTATTAAAAGCTTTTACAATATCAATAAACATTAAACATTGCACACTATGCGTTATACAGTAATTCAGTTGACAATGGCTACTTAATAAATTCCTACATTAAATATAATCACAATGGCTTTCTCCGACATATATACCATAAAATAAATGTTAAATAGATTGTAAAAATGAATTATAACTTTGATGACAATATTGTAAATATACGATTGATTAATTTTTCAAAGGAAAATTATTATAAAATATCCGACTAAAAGTAAAAAAAACACCTATTTATATTAGAAGTACAAAAATATAGACGAAAATGAAATTAAAAAAAAAATATGTATTTTTATAAAAATACAAACAATAGCGTCTCCATTGCAGTCGTTGTTCACAGTCAAATCAAGTTTGGTGTAATAGTGAGACATTTTTTTTCAACCTGCCAATGGACAGCGCTGCCGGAAATGAAACGCGCCTTGTGTCAATGGAATCAGACGGTCGCTCTGACCAAAATCCCTGCACAAAAGCTCACAAAAAACTCAACGAACGTAAAAAACCAGTTTAAAAAATTTATACATTAAAGACTCCTTTTTCTTAATTTTGTAAATAGCAAAACTCCAATCTGTTCTATTCTGTTGCCCTCAATAGGAAAGTAATATGATGGATTCTTTGTGGCCAGATATTTTGCTAATTAATAAATTATTTTTAATACCAAGAATGGTTTTATAAACGGCTATAACTAAACCTAATATTCCACAAAGAACACAACATAGGAGTTTTTTAATTTACTACAAAGTAACAAAATTTTGTTTGAAATCAAAATATAATACAAATTCCATATTTTTCCTGTAGCAATAAAGAACATAAATCAACGTGCTAATTATCTGAAGCATATTTTTGCTAATTTACATTAAAAAATAGTCCCCGAGGGCAAAACGTGCGGCCAAGTTTAATGAGAAATTAGAGGAAAAAATTGAAATCGCTGGCCGTAAATGAAAAATTAAAAAAGTAACGCCGGAAACGGTAGTGCAGCCATGTTTCTTCCAACATCCTAACGACCTTAATTACCCGCGCAAAGAAACAAACCGAGACAATGTTTACGAAATTAATCGAATTGCTTTCTTTTAAATTGGACTTAATTTTATAAGGTACAATATTTCTTATACATTCTAGTCTTAAGAAAATGATCAGACGACATATATTTAATTTAGTTGACTTTAAATCATGTGATTTTTTTAACAGTGGAAATCTACGTTAATTTTGTTTTTTTTTTATAATAGAAGGGGGCAAAAGAACGGCGGTATGTATGTCTATATGGTAAAACGACACGCTAAAACGTCCTTAGATTTGCATGCAATTTTCACAGCTTCAGTATCAAATACGACTGAATAATCAAGGTGCTCTGACTTCCGCCGCTGTCGACTCTACGCTCTTCGTCGACCTAGTTGTGGATAGGGCTGACAAAAACTTTTTCAGACATTTTAATATTACATTTGATGATTAAACGTACGCCTTAGGTAAAACAAAGGTATTTATCATAGTGTATACATTCCTAAGAAAAAGTAAAGTAAAAATACTTTTGTTCGATTTTTTTTTCTGACTGTGACATTTTTTATAATTTTTACTTCTTCCGGATTCTGTTAGTAAGAAATAAAAACGCTTTTACAAAAGAATTTTAAAATGTTGATTAGTATACACGAAAAATACTATACTAAGTAAGTGTTTAGTTAGCATTAAATAAGTCTGAGTACCGCGGATAATTTAAATGACAACCCTGTGCCAAGCACATCATTATTGTAATGGAATGTCACGGACTGCAACCGCGAGTACTCTTGAAAGCAATCCCTTACAACGATACATAAACATTTGATTCAAGCAAAAACCACCTTTATCACCTTTAGATAAAGGTCAGATGAATGTATTAACTAATTTTGTGTCAGTACAGACTAGATGTTGAGACCATAGAGCAACACATTAGCGACATCTCTCGCCGCAAGTGAGAAAATTGCACCGAAATTATCGTTTTGAGTCGCATAGCTTTTAGCTTTGCTTCTTTTTAGTTGTCGCATCGGATAGCACTAGAGTTTTAAAAAGATTTTGCACTCGTCATTTTTTAAGTGTTTTGCAAATGCTTTAAAACTGTAATTATTCTCTCTGTACAGTATAAATATTAATAATAGCGAGAAAATAATGGCAATTATCATATTTTTACACTAGAAGTCTAATCCTTCTTACATTTTTGGGAAAATGTCAAGAACTTTATAATGAAATCAAGTAAATATAAGATATTATTAATTAATAAGTTATAAGTGTTTTAAAAAAAAACTGTTTTTTTAATATTTTCAGACTGAATTATCAATCTTACGTATTACTAATATTATAAATGCGAATGTTTTGTGGATGTTTGTTAAAAGGTATCTCCATAACGGCTACATGGATCTCGCTAAGATTTGACTTACATGTAGAACATAATCTGGAAGAACACATAGACAACTTTAGTAAGAAAAACTTAGTACTTTTTAGGGTTCCGTACCTCATAGGACAAAAAAGGAACCCTTATAAGATCACTTTGTTGTCCGTCCGTCTGTCTCTCAAGACACTTTTTCTCAAAAACGCGTAAAGGTATCAAGCTGGAATTTATATCAAATACTCAGGTCTATAATACCTTTAAGCTGTAACAAAATTAATCTTCTATATCAACGCAATCAAAAGAAAAAGCAATTTTGTTTAATCACATATTACTTTTTAAAAATATAAATTTATTACACTTTTTAACTATGACTCGATTGTAGTGATAGGTGAACTTTTACTTATACCTTTACAGGTTTTTTTTGGAACCCTCGGGACGCGAGTCCGACTCACACTTGACTAGTTTTTCTTTTTAATACCGCACGGACAAGGTCCCCCGCTAAATGCATAAATAAAGGTCTAACTATAAATAAATATCTATTAACGAGATAGATATTTGTATGCAAACTGCAACGAAATCCTATCATCTATGTACTTAGTGCCTATCAGTTATACAAACGACTAATGCATACTAATAAATATATTGTTTACGTTAAAATAATTATTTACCGTTGGTTTCTGAGACAAATTTGTATAACACATATCGACATCTCTGTCATTAGTTTTGACAAAATAGAGATGATATGTTTTAAACGATGCTTTTGGTATCGGAAACCTACGGTAAGTTATTATTTTTTTATTCGCAATTTAAGATAAACAAGTCAAAAGTTTCCAAAACATTTGACAATCGGAACGATGTGATTTAATTAAAACGTTGAACTCTTTCTTTATGAAACATATTGATTAAAAACTGTGAGCAAAAATGTTATTTTTGTCATCTTCTTGCGTAATCGTCCAATCTTTAATTGCACACTTAGGAAGACCCTTAGTGCAGATTTATTAAACTCAAACCACCTTCTCGAGTCTTATACTTACAGAAAGTTAAGTAGAGAGAAGTAGTAATAAATTCGATAAAGCAACACTGAAAAAAAACTGTAGTCAGTCAGATTAAAAAAATAAAAAATCAAATGCTGTTTAAGTACGGACTTTATTCATTAAAATATATAAAATGCTACAAATCCTAATTAAGGCGCGATAGTTAACCAGAGTTGACAGAAACTACGTAGAAATATGTACGTATTATACAAAATTATCAACATCCTGTACATTGCATAATGTTTGAAAACATTTGAACGGAAATAGTTCAGATTTGCAATCATTTGTAGAACTACAGGATGTTCCATATCATATTACTATCTTTACGCAGATGTTATTATGAACGGAAAATAAAGTACTTAATTAATATAAAAATAAACAAACATCGTAGACTAATAGAGTACTAAATCAATTGTGGACAATATTTTCCATAGACTGAATATTTTAAAAAAATTGTAGAAAATAACGAATAAATATTCGCGAGAAATTAAAAGTCTTAAATGCTTCATCATCATCAGCTCACTATACGTCCCAACCTAGAGGCTCGGAGCTTACCCTAAGTTAAGGGTGATTAGGCCATAGTTAACCACGCTGGCCAAGTGCGGGTTGCTTGACTTCACACATATCTTTGAATTTCTTCTCAGATATGTGCAGGTTGCATTACTATGTTTTCCTTCATCGTAAGAACGTCGGATAAATGTACATATGTAAATCGGAAATCGAAAAACACATTGATACATGGCGGTATTCGAACCCAGGACCTGCAGTTTGCAAATCTAGTGCTTGACCCCTGAGCCACCGACGCTCCTTAAATGTTACCACATTTATAATCGAGTGATATCTTAATTAAGTTAACTAACTCCATTTGTCATAAACTGAAGTAATTAAGATCGTTTTACATCATTAAATATTAATAATGCGAAATCATAATACAATACGCAGTTCTGTGGTTTACTGCTAATTCCTGTCATATGTTATTTTCCTACAGATTCCAATTGGCATTGCTTATTTTTTTTCTTTACTTATTACTTTCATTGTCTGGTAAATATTTAGCTGGCACGTGTATCAGGTGGCTCTTGTAACATACGTTTTGTAAACGAATCAAAGAGGAAACTTGACTTGTGTTAGCCTTTTATCTCTAATTAATGCATAAATGTAATTAAATTACGATCAGATAATTTATAAAACGTTTATTTAATTGAATAACATAAATGATTAATAATGGAAACTTAGTAATAACAATTATATGAAAGTCACTTCTTCACACACTTCACTTTTCATTTTCATGTACAACTTGCGGCTTGTAGTCCAAGTCGAGAACCTTCCTCAGACTGTCCGCATACATATCTAGTCTTTGCGTCATGTAGTAGCAGCGGCGGTCTCTTATCTGTCTGTTCAGGTTCAAATCCATTTCAGCGATGAGAAGACCGTCTTTAGTACGGGAAAGTCCGGGACATCTTACACCATCCGGACCACAGAAGTAACTCGAACCGTAGAACAGACCCAGGTCTTTGTGCGCCGGTTTACCATCTGCTGAGGTGAACTCGTTGGGGAACTCCTCGTAGCCGACTCTGTTTATAGCGGCTGTGAAATAACAGTTAGTGATCGCAGCATTCCGCGCTTCTACGTTCCACATATACTCACTCCCGGCTTCCCCAGCGACTGTACAAGATGGATTAAACACAATCTCAGCTCCGTTAAGTCCAAACATCATCCAGTTGAGGACATGGTGACGTCCAAAGCAGATGTTGACAGCTATCTTACCGTAACGAGTCGCGAACACCGGATGACCTGTGTTACCTTCCATGTAGTAATTAGACTCGTTGAAGTCGCCCACTCTCGGTATGTGGTTCTTACGATGCTTGCCGATGACATTACCTGTGTCACTGATCACCACGGTCGTGTTCCACAAGATATCGCTGTGGTTCTCATCGCGTTCGAGGATAGATGAGACTATGACCATCGCGTATTTAACAGCCAGCTCCTTTAGGAAGCGAGTCGTAGGACCTTCTTCAGCAGATTCAGCGAATTCACACCATGGCTGCTTTTCTCGGGTGCAAAAAGCGAAAGGCATGTTCCATAGTTCATGGAAGCAGATGATATTTACACCCTCTTGTCCGGCGACGTCAATAATCTTCTTAACCTTTGCGAATATCGCATTCTTCTGTTCGTTGACCGGACGATCGGTGGGCGCGGCTATGGAATGCTGGATCAGACCTACCTTGACTATTCTCGGTGGTCTTGTATGTTCCTTTTTAGCTGGAAAACCGTACGCCGCGATTTCGAAGTCGGCGTCCTTGGCCGCAGCGATAGAGGAATCTTTGAGTTTCAATTCATTGTGTTCCCTTTTTCCGTAGTATATTCTATTAAATTCCTGCAAGTCCCGTCCTGTCAGGTTGTTGTTGACTATCGCTTCGAGGCTGACCGTTTCGTTTTCCATTGCTATGTCGTCCGTCAACTGGGGGCTGTCGAGAATGACTGCTGGTGGTTCTCGATCATTCGCGCTATTTAAACAGTCGGGCTGTCGGTTCACAAATGCACTCAAAACATCTAGTGTTATTTGTCTGTGTGTTGCCTAACGTACATCCGATGAACTTGGACCCCTCTGATAATATAACAGTATCTATATGAAAAATAATAGCCTTATCAAAAGAACATTAACTCCGGTATAAATAAACAATATTATAGATAGATGAGACTATTTATATTTAGGTTATTGATGAAACAGACAAAAGCAGGCTAAGCTCGATACATACGGTACTTACTAATTTTATCTTGAAACTAGGTGTCGCCCACGACTCCGTCGGCGTGTTGGTCTAAAAAAAATAAACATTTAGGGTGATGAAAAATAGATGTTGGCCGATTCTCAGACCTACTCAATATGCTCACATTCATGAGAATCGGTGTAGCTGTTTCGGAGGAGTATGGGGAACGAAAATTGTGACACGATAAACTATATATAAGATATATATTAAAGACAAATCAAATTATAATCAACTAACACTAAAAAAAACATAATTTATAATAATCTGGATATTCGATATTATCGCATGTCAATTTTAATAAAAATAAAACTTTTATTAGACAAAAAAAGTCGAGTTGAAACGTAGTCAATATAGATGGACCCTTAAACATGTTTGCAATAAGAATTAATCACATGGTTAATGTATGCAGAACCTGTACCTAGGCTACGACGAAGAATTTATAATCTATGTCTATATACAGTACTGTGTTTACATCTCAAAGTTATGTAACATCTACTCGATATACAATCAAGTTTGTATCCTACATAAAACAAGATGGCGCGTTCTCAAACTCTCGATGAAATTGTCAAAAACAATTTAAATTTGGAACGAATAAAAGAATTCAACAGAATTTACTACGGACGTGAAGATCATTGTGAAATAAAATTAAAACCAGCCAGTGTCATCGCGAGTGAAAAGTTTCAAATCGAACTGGCAGCTTATTCATTTCACGCAGCCAAAGAAGAGGTTAGAAAACCAAGATTAGTTAAATTGGGGTTAGTACAACATTCTATTGTTTTACCAACTAATGAGTCGTTGATTTCTCAAAGAAAAGCAATATTTAATAAAATTGAAAACATAATAAATATTGCAGCATTTGAAGGTGTTCAAATATTATGTCTGCAAGAAACATGGTCTATGCCATTTTTTCTTTGTACAGGAGAAAAAGATAATTGGACAGATTTTGCAGAATCAGCTGAAAATGGACCCAGTACGAAATTCATTAGCAATTTAGCGAAGAAATACTCTATGGTAATTATATCACCGATTCTGGAAATAGATAACAATGGTGTTTGGTGGAATACAGCAGTGGTTATAGATAATGGAAGATATTTGGGAAAACATCGCAAAAATCACCTTCCGAGTGTTGGCAGCTTTAGTGAAACTGCATATTACTCGCCTGGTGATTTAGGACATCCTGTATTCGAGACTAGATATGGAAAAATCGCCGTCAACATTTGCTTTGGCCGTCATCATGCGTTAAACTGGTTGATGTTCGCTCTAAATGGTGCTGAAATTGTCTTCAATCCTTCAGCCACTATATCGGAATTCGGCGAATCGTTTTGGGGCATAGAAGCCCGTAATGCAGCTATCGCGAATGGTTATTTCACTTGCAGCATTAATAGGGTTGGCAACGAAGAGTTTATTAAAATGCTGGATAATAAAAAAGTAACTCGAACTTACTATGGATCTAGTTATATAACAGCTCCCAATGGATTCAGAACACCTGGACTATCCAGGGTTAAGGATGGTTTACTCATCGGGGAAGTAGACCTAAATTTGTGTAGACAAGTAAAAGATCAATGGGGTTTTCCAATGACTTCGAGGTTAGAATTATATTCTAAAGAATTAAATGTAAAACAATAAATTATTTTATATTTTTTTATAAACAATGTTTTTAATGAACAAAGAAAATCTTTTATTCTGCATATTACATCCTGGTACAAAAACTTTTTAATTCTTTTATCACGATATTTCTACAATATAATCTTTCAATGTAAATACATAGTGATTTTAAATTGCAGTCATTTTGCTGATATTTTCTTACAGGCGCTTATTTAAGATCCTTTTTTTGTGACTGATTGCCACTGTTTGCCTTGAGGAGGCATTTACAGCTTCACCGGGCTTGAGGTGGCCGAGCGCAGATGGAACTTAGCCTAAGCCTCGTTTAAGAGTAACTAAGCTCGAGGGCTCCCTCAGGAACCTGGGCTCAGGCCGTTACTTCTTTATTATTACCAGATTGGAGATACATTTTAAGAAACCTTGCTAATACTCATAATAATTAACATGGCTTGCATCACATGTAGACTATTTAAAAATTACGTAGTGTTAAAATTGTATCTACTCAAAGGTAATAAATAGATTGTCATACGATATGAATAACAAAGAGTATATTTGTCACAAAGCGCCTGTTAATTAATTAAGATAAAGCTGCGTTTGTAAGAACACACTATTAAAAACAAAAATGTTAAAGTAATTTTTATGGTCTGTACATATTTTATACTTTTTTTCGATTTAATAAAAACGAATTTTAACAAACGCTATGTGCCTCATTAGTATTTAACATTTTTATATGTTACTTGTTCTTTTTACTCGTTTTTTAAACTTTCGGCAATCGACCACATTTAAAAGGGGTAGGTTATGAGGTTATGTAAAACTTTATAGGTCTCGTAAATAATAACTATTTACATTTCTCCTCTCACTTAGATTCTCCACTTTACTTTTTATATACGCTACCCTATTACTGTTTGTATGTTTGAAGTTTAAACAAAAAACCTGTACTTATTAACATTTCACTGTCCACAATCCTTTGGAATTAAATATTTACATAAGAGTTTTTCCTCTAAATCGAACACAATGACAATGCAGTTTTGGAAATATGATTCATGTTAGGTTAAAGTCCACTGTTCAAAATCCATTTTGCTTAGTTTTTATGACAAAGTATATTTGATTTTTAAAGTGTTAATTGACAATGTACTATGACTTGCCAGTGATGGTGTACTTTCATATTTCAACCGTAGTCATCATTAGTAGAAAAATCGATTAAGATGAAAAAAAAAATAACGTCATTTTGACAAAATAAATATTACTGTTGTTGTCAAGCGAAAAAATTTTGCGATTTACTTAAGTCTATTTAATTTTAAAATCTTAATATCCATAAGTAGATTATAATCCATTTAATACGCATAGTTCTTGTTTTATAGATAAAAAAAAACTAATTGTAAAAAAAAATCATGAGTTTTTTATTTAAAATATTTTAGTAATAGTCATGACAGGTTGAGTGCCAAGTCTCAGAAGAAGATGTCATGGACAGAGCGAAGTGGAAGAGACGGATTGGGAAAGCTGACCCCACCTCCTTGTGGGATGCAAGCTAGGGAGAGAGAGAGAGAGAGAGAGAGTCAGGACAGGTTGATAACTAAGCTAAAGCCTTTAAATACTAGATAAAAAAAGTGGATAGTTTCAACGATAACACAACTATATTTTTAAATTGTTAGAAAACTCATTATATAATATAAATGATTGATTTTTTGTCTATGTGTAATATGTTTTAATTAGCTTATGCAGAAAACGGTAAATAAGTATGTACTGCCTCGGTCAGTGACCTTTACATTGGAAGACATAAGGTTGAGATAAATTTACATTATTATATCTTTTAATCTAGTACCTAAAAAATATGTATTATTTTCACAAAGCCGTAAATGAATGTTTCATAGCAAATAAACCTTATTTTGATGATCACACACGCATATTTATTAATTACACTAAACGTTCACTGTAAATAAAAATTAGGAAGAAAAAACGCGATTCGTTTTACATATTTTTATCAAGAAAATAAAATTTACATAGAAACTATTTTCTCTTTTCGTACACAACTTGTGGTTTATAATCGATATCTAAAACTTTACTTAAACTGTTCACGTACAATTCCAAACGTTGCGTCATTTGGTAACAAGTGCGATCCCTCACCTGCCTGTTCAGGTTCAAGTCTAATACGCCGATGAGGAGTCCATCCCTGGTGCGCGATAGTCCGGGACACCGGACACCGTCCGGCGCGCAAATATAGCTCGACCCGTAAAAAGGCCCGAAGTCATGATGAGCGGGCATCCCATCCCCTGAAGTAAACTCACTGTTAAATCTTTCATTCCCAACCCTATTGATTGCCGCTGTGAAGTAACTATTCGTTATAGCAGCATTCCTAGCTTCTATATTCCACATGTACTCACTCCCTGTATCACCACCTACGGTTGCTGAAGGATTAAATACGATCTCTGCTCCGTTGTGACCGAACATCATCCAGTTCAAGACGTGATGACGACCGAAGCAAATGTTGACAGCTATCTTACCGTAACGAGTCGCGAACACCGGATGGCCAGTGTTACCTTCCATGTAATAAGTCGATTCGTTGAAGTCACCCACTCTTGGTACATGATTCTTCCGATGCTTGCCGATCACGTTACCATTGTCACTTATCACAACAGCCGTGTTCCACAAAATGTCACTATGATTTTCATCTCGCTCTAGAATCGGAGATACGATCACCATAGAATATTTCGCGGCTAGTTCCGATATAAATCTAGTGGTAGGACCATCCTCTGCAGACTCGGCGAACTCGCACCACGGTTGCTTCTCTCTGGTCGCGACGAACATTGGCATGTTCCACAACTCTTGGAGACACAGGATGTTCACGCCTTCATCACCGGCCGTCTCTATGATAACTTTAACTTTATCGAAAATTGCTGCCTTTTGCAAACTAATCGGTTGATCCGTAGGTACGACGATCGAATGTTGTATTACTCCAATTTTAACTATCCTGGCTGGTCGGATTTGTTCATTTTTGGCGGGAAAAGAATACGCAATAATATCGAAATCGAATTCTTCTGATTTATCTTTTGAAGATTCTTTTATAGGGACATTTAAATGATTCCTTCTTCCGTAGTATATTCTATTGTATTGCTCTAAATCGTAACCGTTAAGGTTATTATTGATGATAGTCTCA